AAAATCAATTTCCTCATCTTTTGCTTTGGTGATTGGTGCATAAATTTTAATAATAGTAGTAGTAACTGGTCTTCCTTTTAGGCGTATGGATATTATCCTATCACCGACAGCATTGTACTTCAGGACAGATCTTGAAACATCTTTTGTGATGATGAATGCCACGCCATTCCTCTTCAGTCTGTCATTCCCAGCATAGTAGATCATATGGTTGTCTGATTCAAAATGGCCAAAACCAGTCCATTTCAACTGACTAATGCCTAGATATGAGTCTTTATGCATTCCATTTCATTTTTGTCAACTTCCAATTTTCCTAGATTCATACTTTGTACATTCCATGGTCTGATCATTAATGGATGTTTGCAACTATTTCTCAATTTGAGTCATGCCACGTCAGCACATGGAGGTCCTGAAAGACTTACTTTATCCATATCATCAAGGTTGGTTCTACTCTAATGAGGCAGCTCTTTCCCAGTCCTATTTTGAGTGCTTTCCAACCCAAAAGGCTACTAGTCTTTCTGCACTGTGTTGGACAATGTTTCCAAACTACTGATAAAGATGCCCAGTAATGTATCAGACAGTATTTCTCTGCTATTCATAAGGTTTTCCCTGGCCAATTTTTGAGAAGTGGATGGCCTCCTCCTTCTTCCTGTCTCAGTCTATAAGCTGCGTTGCAACCCGTGCACCATGTGTAACTCTGCTGGCATCTGAAACAGCAGTGGCGCTATATAGCCTCAAGCCTCACAGCAATGTACAAGCCTCACAGGATGACAAACTGACAGACAAGTTTGTCTCCCTTAGCTGTTGGAAAACTCTGCACCCTCCTCTTACCTAATTCCTACCTGAAACCTGCCACTCTGTGGTCCCCAGTCGCTTCTGGTCCCACCCTTTCCTGGCTCTAGGGGGCTTGGGACCTAGCCTTGCCTCCTGCCCTTTCAACCTAGATATCCTGCCACTCCTGAGGTCCCGGAGGCCGCTCCTGGTCCCTCCCTTTCCTGGCTCTAGGGGGCTAGCAGTAGCCTAAACAACAGACTGTCTAATTTAATTGCTACATTCACAAAAGCATAATAAATATAGGTCCATACCAACAATCTCTTATGTGAAATCGTAAAAGCTACTATAAACAAAGTTCTTTCATAAAGTTGGTGTCAAATTTGTGTTTGGTGGGAAAAATGAACAATAGGCTATTTATAGTATTCATTTATTTCACTCTCCCCCTTAGTATGCCTGTTCGTGCTTTACAATAGAAATATTCACGTGTTTGACTACAATATGCCGTCTCTGACTCTTCCGGGGATGATATATATGCACTGCCTTATCTTCTTTAAAGTCAAAGAATTCTGAATTCCAAAACATATCTGGCCTTAAGAATTTCAAACTAAGGTTTATAGACCTACACTTGGTTTTAACAAAAAAAAATTTTTACAATTAAGACTGCTACAAATACCGTTTTTAATAGCTACCCGAAAAATAAAACACATGGGAATACATCTTACCAGGGACACAAAAGACCTCTACAAAGAAAACTATAAAAAACTACTTCAAGAAACCATAAGAGATCTTAAATGGAAGAACATCCCATGCTCATGAATAGGAAG